ATCCACCCAGAGCATGACTTACTCAGATAAGGATGAAAGGGAAAGCGTCTTGCCCAACGGACGTAGCATCTCTCTCATGGACCTCCAAGATCCTCACACGGCTCACAGTGACCATGCTTCTATTATGCACGATGTGCCTTTGCGCTTGGCCGGCAGCCAGCTCTCTGTCACACAGGTGGCAAACATCAAACAGCTGTGGGAAACTCAGAGCACACCCCAGAGTGCTCCCCAGGTGAGAAGGCCTCTGCACCCAGCTTTGAACCAACAGGGCAGCCTCCAGCCCCTGTCATTCCAGAACCCGGTTTACCATCTTAACAACCCAACCCCACCGATGCCTAAGGCCTCTGTGGACTCCAGCCTGGAGAACCTGAGCACGGCCAGCTCCCGGAGCCGAAGCAACAGTGAAGACTTTAAACTTAGTGGACCCAGCAACAGCAGCATGGAGGACTTCACCAAGCGCAGCACGCAGAGCGAGGACTTCTCACGGCGCCACACGGTCCCAGACAAGCACATCCCCATCGCGCTGCCCCGCCAGAACAGCAGCAGCCAAGCACAGATCCGCAAAATGGACCAAGCCGGGCTGGGCGCCAGGGCCAAAGCACCTCAGTCCTTGCCGCACAGCGCTTCCTTACGGAGCACGGGCAGCATGTCGGGAATGTCCGGGGCCATGGTGACGGAACCCATTCAGAATGGGAGCCGGTCCCGGCAGCAGTCCTCGTCCTCTAGAGAGAGCCCTGTCCCAAAGGTGAGGGCAATTCAGAGGCAACAAACGCAGCAGGTAAGGAAAGCCTTTTTCTCGGCACTTTCTGCTTTGATGTTTAGCTGATTGCTGGATTGACCTTCAAAGCTTTTTGACCTTTGACTTGAACTGAGTTGAATAAAGAGCACTGGCACTTAAGCAAGTGGCCAGTAGCAAGTGTAAGGAATAGTCACACTTGTTACCCTTACAAGATTGTCAAGCCTAGCTTACTTATTTTTGCATGTTTTTGTACTAAATTAAAGAAAAAAAAGTTTTCCATTTACTAAGGTAGCAGCAAGCCTGCTCAAAGAAATAAACCTTGAAAATTGCTCTGAATAAAAAAAATAGAAGAAGCTTTGTTCCAGATCGTAGTTAAGATTACCCCGTGAGAATGCATTTGCCCTGTGGCACTAATTTCAAAGCGTACCTACCTAAAAATGGAGAAATAAACAAAGATAAAATATCATAGAATAAACTGCTGCCAAAATAATAAAGAAGTACAGTTGTCCTAAATGTGGAGAAATTTCACCATGATACAACAATCAATTGCTGATTCCCAAATGAATACTGCTTTTTCATTAATCAACCCAAACTATGAATAATGAAAACACTTACTGGAAAGGAGTGCTTATATATACCAACTCCTAATCCACTTTATCAGTTGTTCATAGGTGACTGTAAATCAAGATTTTACTGTCAAAAAGCCAACATTCCTTTACCTTAAAAAAAAAAAAAAAATCCTGTTGGGATTTGCTGTGTATGAAAATATTTTCCTAAATTAGTTTAATGTTAACGAGAAAATAAGTATTTAAATGCTTGGCACTGCAGCGAAAGTAGAAAATGTCTCTACCTGGAGGTCAGAGAGAAGATGGTGGTTTTTTAAAATGCCATATTAGTGCATACAGTCTTATCAGCTGGGCAGGGTGAGGCTCTTGAAGCAACACCTGCACTATTCCTTGGGGTTACGTGTGTTCTTCTGTGGTCACCGTGAAGGTAAACATGGTCATGTTTGATTTACCTTACCTGGTATAGAAGGAAATTTTTTAAGCTCCTGCTTTCCACAAAGACCTTCTAGGAAGAATGCTGCTCTGCACTCAGGCACGAGTGAGGAATTTCACTCCAGAACGTTGCAGCCCCTGAGGCTGAGACTGCACCATGCCGCCGGTGAAGCTGCATCCACAAGGAGCAGGGGGTTATGATCCTCCTTGCTGACGCAGCCCTGTCGGCAAAAGCGCTGGTGAAGACACGGTTATGCAGGGGGAAGGCTTTTGGCTTGTAAGGTAAAGTTGACAGAAGAACTTAGTTGCCAGCGTGAGCTCCTGCTCTGCCAGGGCTTTTACTAGTGTTCCTGTTGGTGTAGCTTTCTTGGCAAACTCCTGAATGTTAGAGTCAAAAGGAGGAAAATCTGGACGGTGCCTGGGAACCCAGGAGCGATCAGGGCTTCAAAACTACTTTGATACCTCCAGTTCATTGAAGTACAAGGAGACCAGAAACACTGAATCACAAAGCAAAGCTTAATATGCCGAGTTAGTAATACCAAGAAAAGTAATTCCATATTATTTGAAATGCATATGTTTGTGTCCTCCTTTGGAGCGTGTGTTTTACATTTGGGTGTAGGAGGTTGATAGGTAAAGTATATTGAATAGAACTAAGCCTGGCGCAGAGGTGGTAGGAAATTCTTAGGCCAGTGACAAGGATAAATTTGAAGGAAAAACTTGCTTTGCACTTCTCAGGTGTCCAGCGTGAACCTGTATTGTGTGATCTGCTGAGTGTTGCTGTATGGTTCTGTGCAGTGTCCTAGCCAAAATCTCTAGGGAGCTGGTACCTTTCCTCAGGGCTTGTTATGGGAAGTGCCTACACAAATACTTGAAGAAGGCTTTACTTTGAGGGTGTTAGGATAGGGAGGAGAAAGTACAGGTGTTGTGTCTCCAGTCCTTGTGCATACACCTTACAAGGTGGCTTCTGCCCTGTCTGTATTTACAAGAAACGTTGGGTTAGCTGTTTGCAAACCCCTGGCTCTTCTCATCTTAGATTGCTGATTACCGAACTGCGCCCAAGTAAATCAGTTACATTTGCTTGTTTAGCCTCAAAGTGACATCTCAGGCTTCCCTCTTCTCCAGTTCCTTTTTACATCAACTTCATAGACGCCTGTGACTATGACTGGCTTCAGGGCAGTCTCCTTGCACCCTCTTGTAGGCGATATGCATCTACTTAATTTTTCCACTCTACTTTCCATACAAATTGTTTTCACTGGATTCATTACTTGCTCCTTGCTCGTACTTTATTCAGAGAAATCAATTTGTTCTTTCCTTCCCCACACCCTTGAGAAATGTCTTGAAGTGTGCCAGATCGAGTGGCCAAAATTTTTTTTTGAGGCAAATTCCATTGTGACCTTTTAATTGCAAATCGTGTTGTGGAATTCTGTTCTTATTTAAAAAAAAGAAAAAGAGAAAAGAGAAGCTGGGCATGTTCTTTCTGGGCATGTTCTTTCTAGGCATGCTTTGTAGGCGTTATAATTATTAGACTCTGTTCTCTACAAGTCCCATTTGTTTCTGAATATAGAGCTAGGCCCTTTGTTTGCTGGGAGAGGTCAGTTTTTTGCCTTCCATTTCCATTGAGTAGGTAGGTGGGAACAGAAGTGTCAGTGTGTTCCTCTGTAAGAGAGGCAAAGAGGGGAATTAATACATGTTCCTAGCAGGCTTTTCTTTTTTCCCCTTTATTAGAGTGTAACTCATAACCCATTAGCATGTGAAGTGCTTGCCATCCACTTGGTCTTTGTAGGCTTTCTGAGTTTGGCTGCTGAAGATGTTCTGTCCTACAGTTTGCAAGGTTGTTTGGCAAGGATTGCTGCTGATCAGCAGTCTGTTACAAGGCTGGTGATGTAGTTTACAGTCATGCTTCTGCTATCTTAGTCCTCCATAACTCCAGTGAACCATGACACTGTTTATCATAGCTGTTCCTAATTCCTCCAGCAATTCCTAGAGCCGAAGTATTTACCTCCGAGAAGAGCCTGTTGGTGGCAGAGCCATAAACACTTCGTAGTCTCCCTTGCCGTGGCTGCCTCACAGCAAATACCATCAAAAAAACCTAACTTAAGGAGCTTTGCCAAGCTGTCACACTGCACTTTAAAGGGACTATTAGCCTTTCTGCTGTGAAGACTTCTTTCTAGCGAAAAGGCCTCTGCCTAAATCCAGGGATTGTTGCCTAATCCCTGTTCCTTTTTGCCTTTATACCCGTCCTTGCTGAGGCTTCTTACAGTGCTGGAGTCTTCATCGCTACTCAGGACAACTGAGCCATTGCAGGCAGATCCTCTGGCCAGAGCTGGCATAGGATGTATGCAGCACTCGCCAGCCCTGTTCACGTGAACAAGAGAAATGGAAATGGAGGTTGATGTGATCCCTCACCTGACTTGTGTAAAGAAGCTGTCACTCCCCCATACTGAGCTCCTAGCTGAAACTTAGGCTTCAAAGTCCCCTTACCACAGAGCACGTTTCACTTTGGTGCAATGCTGGAATGAGGCAGTGAGCTGAAGAGCTGCTTGAGGACAAAAAGAAGCTGCAATTGTGGGGGGGGGGGGGGCGCGGGAGGAGAG